GCACTGCTCTCTCGGGTAAGCGAGGCCCGGGGCACTGCTCTCTCGGGGAAAGCGAGGCCCGAGAGCACTGCTCTCTCGGGGAAAGCGAGGCCGGGGGCACAGCTCTCGGGGCGGCCTGCGTGGTCGTCCGCCCCTCTCCCGCCCGCTTAGCCCCGCCCCCGGGCCGCCATTTTGTGGCGTCTTTGGAAGAGAAGGCGGGACTCAGACAGCCGGGTCGTCGGGTCCCGGCCGCGATGAGACCCACTCGGCCTCCACGGCGAGGACGGCCCAGGCAGCACCCAGAAACCCGACACAGCGTCGACCTCCACGCCACATCCCCCCCCCCCCCCAGCCTACCGGCCAATCCACACACGACGCCTGGGCAACGACTGCGCGGAGGCCCAGTAAGGCGCGCGCGTCCTGCCGACTCACACAGGGCCGGCCTGCGGCACGTGTGTTCCGGCCGCCGAGGCCCGCCGTGCGCAGAGCTCCCGTGGTGCACAGGAGCCCGTACTAACCTCCATAGCCTTGCTCCATGTCTTCGACGCGATCCGCCAGCAGACCCTTTTCTTAGCTTTCCCTAGAACGCATGCGTTCAACGCGCCGCCTGCTACTGGAGGACGCGGAGCATACGTCGCTCCCTTTGGGCGCTACCATTGGTCGGCCTCCAACGGGGCCGCCCCCACCACTCCTCTGAGCCTTCCGGGTTGCTAGGCTCGGTGTCTACAGCATCTAGGGAGTTGGCCTCAAGGGTAAGTTAGTGCGCAAGAGCGTCCAGGTCCGCGCAGGCGTGAGCTGCGCTTGGGGGGGGGGGGGTTTGCCCGCGCGCAGGCGCACTCAGTCTCTGGACGCCGCGGGGGCCCTCGCTCAGAACTCACTAACAACACAGTGACCTAGGGTGGGAAAGTACTTTATTAAGCTGCGCTTCCAGCCTTAGCCAAACGAGCTCTGCTCGCTGTCGGCACGGATTATGGATCGCCCCCACCACCCTCCTCGTCGTCTTCCACGTCAAGGCCGGGGATCCCGCGGATCTGGCACTGCAGCGCCCCGCCTAGCAGGGGTACCGCGCCCTCCTCCTCTGGCGGCGGCGGAGGCGGCGGTGTTGCAGTCCCCGGGGCTGGCTCCAGGGGCACCGGGGGCTGTGCAGGCACACCCTCTGCGTGCTCTGTCACTTCTGGTGCCCCCTCATCCAGAGCGCCACTCTCAACCTCGTCTTGTTCCTTCTCCTCCTCCGGGCTGTCGGTGAAAGGATTCTCGCCCTGTAGAGATTGATGGAAACCTTAAAGGGAGGAAGGAGTCACAGTGTGGGGACAGGCTCGCGCAGAGGACGGGGCAGAACTGGGACAGTGCCTTCTTGGCTTTTACTTCACCTTCAGATAGCGTTCCAGCTTCTTGCTGATTAGCTTGTTGTTGAGAATGCTGCGGGCCACCATGAGAGAGGACTTCTTGGACTGCTCCATCATGAGCTACGGGGCAGGGCAAACAGGGCTGGTGAGGCTGCTCTAGAAGCCCGGCAAACCCAGCTGAGGCACAGATTCACCAATAACTAGAGACCTACTTTCTGTAAGTGCACTTTGGGCATAATTGTCCAGTCACCCTGGATAAGCATGCATGGAATTAGGATGTGGTCTAATGCTGAAATGCTCCATTCATCCACTCCATATTTACTGTATGTTGAAATCTGTTGCCTGGCCTCATGACACAGGCAAATACAAGGCATACCCAGACTGCAGAGATGGAAAGATGCTAGTCTTTCAAAGACTGGGGCTCACTTTCGACCAACACTCACAAAGTTGCTGAAAACAACCTCTAAACTACAATTCCAGGAGATCTGACGCCCTCTTCTGTCCAACACAGGCAGCAAGCACTCGCATGGTGAGCATACATACATGCAGGCAAAACACACATAAAATAAAAAAATAAATGTATAAAAAGGAGAGGAGGGCAGCTGGAGATAATAGTTCAGTGATAGAGTGCTTACTTAGTATTTTTGAAGCCCTAGGTTCAATCCCCAGACACACACACACACACACACAGGTGTAATAAAACCTATTAAAAGTAAAATGTGAAAACTGTAAAGGGTCTGGCCAAGTTGGCTCAGTGGAAAAGGCATCTGTTACCAAGTTTGACAAACTGAACCCTATTCTCGGATCCCACACAGTAAAGGAGAGAGCCAACTTCTGCAAGTAGTTCTTTGACTTCCACATGCTTTTTCACACACACACACACACACACACACACACACACACACACACAAATACACAGAGCAAACTGCCTTAACACACAAGGAAACTGTTTAGAATTAACAAGGAGAGTATGAAAACAGCTTGCACACCTGTAAGCCCAACATTTAGGAGAAAGAGGCAGACTGCAAGTTCAAGGCCAGTCTGACCTATAGAGTGAATTCCGAGATAGCCTGGGCTACATAAGACTGCCAAAACAAAACAAAATGGGAATATAGATGAAACTCTGTTGTTATACATCCTCTTAATCCACAGGACTTGGACATACGTAAGGTTAAAAAGATACACTTCTCTCCTGGTGGATCAACTAGTTACAGACTTGAACAGCTGTTTGAGACTACAACAGACATACAAATTTGCCTCAGTAATTCCCCCAAAAAATAGAAATAAAACAGGTGTGGTGGTGCACACCTTAATCGCAGTACTTGGGAGGCAAGGGCAGGTGATTTCTGGGAGTTCAAGGCCAGCCAGGGAAACACAGAGAAACCCTGTCTGGAAAAAGAAAGAAAATAAAATGTAGAAATACGCACACTTACTAGTTGTGAGGGTAAAGAACTCATCTTTTTCTTTAGTGGAGAAGTAGGTAAACCATACTATCTAAAAGAGCACCATTCAGCTCCTAAGGGCTGCTGGCAGAGGATGAAAGTATGTGACACACAGTGTGAAAGCATGGGCCCTTTGTTGAGACAGGGTCTTCTGTGATTAAGCTTAGGGTGTTCTGGGGGACTTGTTTGGTTGTTCTGGGATTATTTTTTTGTTTGAGACATTTCGTAGACTAGGCTGACCTGAACTCATTATGTAGTCCATGGTGATCTCTCAAACTTGTGGTATTTCTTCTGCCTCGGCCTTCCTAGTGTCAGGATTGCAGAACACTTGACTGTGTCTGATTTATAAACTGGCTTTGAACTTGTGATCCTTTTGACCTCCAAAAAAGGCTGGAATTGCAGACCTGTACTATCACATCTAAGTAATTCTGTCTGGAAGACTACATCAACATACTGATCATTTTCTTCAATGATAGGCGCACAGATGTGATTAAAGAAAAAAAGGGAAAGCAAGTTGGTTCTTTCCACCACATGTATACCAGGACTCAAACACAGGCTGCCACACTTGGCAACAAGTGCCTTTACCAATTGAGCTGCCTCAATAGCCATCAGAGTTTTCTGTATACATCGTATCTATAAATAGACCCACTAGCAGTGTGTGTCCGCACGCCTGTAATCCCGGCACTGAGGGAGGCAGAGGCAGGTGGATCTCTATGAGGCCAGCCTGGTCTATAAAGTGAGTCCAAGACAGCTGAGGCTACACAGAGAAACCTTGTCTCAAAAAAAAAAAAAAAAAAAAAAAAAAACCAGAAAAGGGGAGGGGGATGGAGAGATGGTTCAAAGGTTAAGAGCACTGGCTGTTCTTCCAAAGGTCCTGAGTTCAATTTCCAGAAACCACATGGTGGCTCACAACCATGCATTATGAGACCTGGTGTCCTCTTCTGGTCTGTAGGCACACATGCAGGCAGAACACTGTATATATAACAAATAAACAAATCTTAACAACAACGAAATAGACTGAGTCATACAATCACAATACTACTGCAGCTCCTTAAGAATTCTGGCTAACACACTGTCCTGTCTTACCCGTGTATGTGTCCAGAAATTGAAACACAAACAGCTGTTTCCAGATTTTGGTCACAATGACAAACATGAGAAATACTTTAAAAAATATAACTTTCGGGTTGGTGCTTTTATTTCTAACCAAGTGAGTATCCCAAGTGATAGTGCCTGATTATCCAGTGCTTCCTCCAGTCCTCCATCCAAAAGTGACTCACATTTACTATGCTAGCCTTAAAACAGCCACCTGTACAGCACTCAGGAGAAAGAGAGAGCCTGACCTGGTTAGTGAAAATACATCCAGCAGAAACAGAGGCAGAAAGATCAGGTGAGCCAGAAGGTAAAACAGAGCCAGGACAGGCAAAACAGATTCCTCTTACCTGCCTCTTCTTGGTACTGGTTATTATATTTTTGCTGTCAGGTAAAAAAGAATGTTTGCTCTTCTGGTGCCATTGCCCTTGGCCAGCAGCAACCATGAATACTCTGATGTGTACACTGCCCAGAATTTCTGCAAGCCAAGCCCCCTTGGCTTCTAGATTGCCTGGCCTGCTCAGGAAGAGTTCTTTGAATAGTCAAGGTAAACAAATGATCTAATTTTCTCCCTGGTCTCTTGATCATCTGTTTTTCACATTTATAATTTCTAGAATTTAATGACACGGTATGAAGCTGGGATACAACTTTCTATTCCACAAGTTTATAAAATGCACCAGTATTTTCCTAGTAAACTTAAATGTAAGTCTATAATCCTATTCTTTTGTTATTTTGACTTTTGTTTTGTGTAGCCCTGGATGTTCTGGAACTCACTCTATAGACCAGGCTAGTCTAGAACTCAGATTCTCCTGTGTCTGTCTCCTGAGTACTGGGATTAAAGTTGTATGCCATCACTGCCTGGCATCCTTCCTTTCTTTCTTTTTTTAAAATAAATTTAAAATCCAGGACTAAGGATATAACTTGGTGGAACAATGTGCAAGACCCTGGACTTGATCTCAGCACATATATACAAACATTCACATGTACTCCCCACCGCCACCCCCTAGAGAACAAGCACACACACCTCTGTAGGGCTCTGGAGAACAAGTTTTCCTCTCAGTTATTTGGTGACTAAACATAAGCCAACATTAGGTTTTAATTCCTCCTTTATTCATCCTTGATGGATGACTCCTGAGCCTACCTGCACTAACGCTGAGTTAGGCAAATCCTGAGTTCTGAGACACAGTGGGATCTTGTCAGTCTCTTTTTGGTTGCGCTGTTTTATTACTGGTCAACATCAGCTTTTTTTGTATTAAATTGTATTGGCTTTGCAGTAAGTTTTAATATCTGCTAAGCAAGTTCCTGGACTCACAACTTCCCTTTGTACGGTGTGTTTGGCCACTGTTAGACATGACATTGTTATGTGTATCTTAAATCCTATACCCTTACCACATTTCCACTAACTTAGAGATCATTTTGCTTTAATCATGCAGCTTCTCTAAGAATGTTACTGCAGAATTAGCAAGATGGCTTCAATGGGTGAAGGTACTGTTTGCCAAATCTAGGGACCTGAGTTCTATGTCTGGGACCCACATGGAAGGAAAAAGCCTAACTCCCAAGAAAGTTGTCCTCAGACTTCTACAACATGTATGGAAAAGCGCACATGGATGGAAGTGCACATAAAAGAATAAATGTAATTTAAAAAAAGATTGTTGTTACATTTATGTACACTTTTCCTTCCAGTATTTTACGCCGAAAATGTTACTAGATTCTTACTGAGTCATCCTTGCAGACCAGGATGACTATAGGCTAATTATAATTTACTACTAGGTTGATATTTATCTTTTCTTTTTATACCTTTTCATCTTTAACAGTATGCTAATCTATAATTTCACTTTGGTATCATCTTTATCTGACCTCTGGAATTAAAGTTAAAAAGGCTTCACAGTTTGTTGTAGTAGGCAGATGCCTGTAATCCAGTACTTGGGAAGTAGAGGCAGGGGCACCGAGACCTAAAGACCAGCCTAGGCTACACAGTGAAATCCTATTTCAAACAAAACAAACAAGTAAGCAGTGGCTGGAAAGCTACCTCAGTCAGAAATTGCTTGCTCCCAAGTATGAGGACCTGAGTCCAACCCTCAGACACCATATAAAAAGTGGAAGTGAGCCAAGCACTGTGGTGCACTGTGGCGCACGCCTGCAATCCCAGCACTCGGGGAGGCAGAGGCAGGCAGATCACTGAATTCAAGTCCAGCCTGGTCTAGAAAGCGAGTCCCGGACATCCAGGGCTACACAGAGATATCCTGTCTCAAACTCCCCCCAAAACAAACAAACAAAAAGAGTGGAAATGATGGCCTCCACTCTCTCCTCAGTGGGAAGTGGAGATAGGCTGGTCCCTGGGGCTTGCCGGCGGTCTAACCCTGAATACTTGGTAGGCTCCAGGCCAGTTCAGCGGAGGTCAAAAGAAAGAGGGAGGGAGAGGTTTATAGTGACTGAAGATGTCTTACAGTCTTCAAAGCCCATAGATATATGTGCAAGCATATCCATACCTATACAACCCACCCTAACACACACACGTACACGCACACACCAAGAAACAAACTGGAAGCCTAAAATTTTACTTAAGAGTGGAGAGACTTCTAGCATAGCAGTCTAAGGGGCTCTAGGGACCTACTCTCTAACAAAACTGATAAAACTTAAAAACAAAACCTATCATTGGAAGACGCTGAAAATGTTCCAGAGGACAAACAGTGGATGAAGAAATGCTTAATGAAGAAAAGATACTTTGACCCAGTGACAGCAACAATTGCATTTCTCCTCCTGCTCCTGCTACCTGTTACTGAGGCTCAGTTCTAGATGCAGAGATAATAGTTTAATCTTAATCATACAAGAGCCAAGGCTTGCCTTTGGGTACAACATGTTAAGACTATAGGGGCCCACCTATTCTTGGCTTGTTCATAAAGGGAAGTGCCCAAGATGAGAGAGAGAGACAGAGAAGCCAGGAGAGAGGCTACAGCCAGTTCACATCCCCTCATCTCTTCCTATTTATTTACTTTTTGGTTTTTTCGAGACAGGGTTTCTCTGTGTAGCCTTGGCTGTCCTGGACTCACTTTGTAGACCAGGCTGGCCTTGAACTTACAGTGATCCACTTGCCTTTGCTTCGCTTGAGTGCTAGGATTAAAGGCATGTGTCACCATGTCTGGTTCTCCTTCATCTCTTTCTAAAAGTGTAAAAGTGGTACAAAAACAAGTGCTTCTTTGTCTTCATCCTTCTAGCCTTGGCCCAAATTCTGCCTTGGGAGAGCCCCACCTTAAAACAATGAACTCTTAGTATCTCCCCAAAAGAACTGACTTATGCCCAAGAATGAAGGGCTCTCTCAAACCAATAGAGAATGTGGAGAAAGAGACTGGAAGACTGGAGAGTAATATAAACTCAACTAAAGGCTGGCTATGTTGCCACAAAACAAACAAACAAACAAACAAACAGAACAAGACTGACAATAAATCTCAAACAATAATCTCAGAAACTATCCCTATTAGAAGCCCCCAAATGGGGTAAATGATTGCAGGGCCTGAACTCAGAGTGTCAATGCATGCTAGAGAAACATTCTACCGCTATGTCACAGCTCAGGCCAAGAACCAGGATTTAAACAGATCAGATTAGAGTAAAGTTCACTATCAGGGTACTGCTAAAAAAAAAAAAAAAAAGCAATCAGCCAGAAATTAATGTAGTTCATTAGGCTAGGAAAGAGATAGGTGACTTAAAACTACTCCAGGTAATTCTCAGACTCTCAGGGTCTCCTTTCTCAAAGGTCAACCGCAGACTCTCACCATAGGGACCACTGGCAGATACCGCATTAAAGAATTTGGCTCATCCTAGGAATGGAGCTTAGTGTTGGAGTGTAGCATTCGTTTTTAAACCGTTTTATGTGGGGTTCTTTAAAACTTCTCCCTTCTCTCCAACCTCCCAAGCCCCACACAGGAGAGGTTAGTAGGGATGGGGGCGCAGACCCCTTTACTTCACCCAGCTGTTTAAGGTCAATGGGTTCTTTTAGGGCTCTCTCTACCAATCTCCATCAATAGCAAACCCAGCCAGCAGTCTCCTCCAAGCTGCTGTGGCCCGCAGAGTTTCTCTCCATCTGTCTGCTTCAAACTGCCACACCATCCGTCTCTGGTCTCTCTAAACTCTATGCCAACACTGGAGGCCACAACACTCTTCCTGGGCTCTTGTATATATATATCCCCAGAGACCTAGACCACACCTTCTCCACGCACATTGCAGGCTGTCACCAACTCTCAGAGGTCATGCTCCACAAGAGGCAATAATCAGGTGTGGACAAACTAAAGCACAACTAAAATGCCACTCTTGGAATTAAAACAAAAACATATTTACATAGCATAACTAAATATACAAAGAAATAAAAATTTCCACTATAGTGCTTGTCTAGAATGTACAAGGCCTGGAGACCTAACTCCAACATCCACAGAAAGAAAGAGAAAAAAAATAGCTAGTCATTAAACACACGGTAAGCAAATATGTTAACAAGTTGCTGCATATGTAGAGGGTGAGGATCTATGCCCAGGTGGGGGTGGGGGTGGGGGTGGGGGTGGGGGTGGGGGTGGGGGTGGGTGGGTGTCAGCCATGATGTGTTTCTAAAACATCTAGATTATGGGCTGGAGAGATGGCTCAGCGATTAAGAGCACTGTCTGCTCTTCCAGAGGTTCTGAGTTCAATTCCCAGCAACCTGGGAGTTCAAGTCCTCCCAACCATCTACCCTGGGAGCTGATGCCCTTTTCTGGCCTGCAGGTGTACATGTAGATGGAACTCTCATATATGTAAAATAAATGAATAAATATCTTTTTAAAAAAAAGTCTAGATTATGAGATGTTCAAAGGAAACTAACCTATATTATAAACAACAAAATAAACAAGACTAAAAACAGCAGACAGGAAGCAATCCTTGACAGTGACTAGATACCAGTTTCTTCAGTGTGTAGACCAGGCTGGCCTTGAACTCAGAGATAGACCTACCTCTGCCTCTAAACTACTGGGATTAAAGGTGTACACCTCTATCACCCTAAGTAGCTTTTCTTACAGTTATTTGATACAAGTATTTTCCTTATGTAACTTAATGATAATTTGAGTACTCATCTACCAAAATGGGTGCCACCACTGCTTGGCAGTTTCATATACTTCAAAGTGGCAATTAACACATTAAGATGGGCTTGGAGGTAGCAGCAGGCATATCTTCGAGTTTGGGACAGCTTAGTCTATATAGAAAATTCCAGGCCAGCCAAAGGAACATAGTGAGACACTGTCTTCAAAAGCCAAGGTGAACCAAATAAACCAGGAAAAAAAAAAGCCACCATATTTAAAGAACACAGACTACCAACAAAGATGTACTAATATCTTTTTATAAAAGTACAACTAAATCTTAGAACAGAAACAAAACATTCACCAGGAGTTCAACAGCAGATATAAACAATCAGTAAGCCTGTAGGTCAGAAGTATCATAAAACAGGGTCCTACTTTCATCTCTCCTCCCACAGAAATGGACCCGAGGCTTGACAGTGGGCATTTGAATTAAGTTTGTTTGTTTGTTTGTTTATTTGTTTAGTGGTGGGCACATATGGAGATGAGAGGAAGGAGAAGTTTCTCCCTTTCCACCATGTGAGTCCCAGGAATCAAAGTCAGCAAGTGCCTTTATCTGCTGAGCAGTCTTGCTAGTCCAACAGGGAGGATTTAAGGAGACAGCAGACACTGACCTAGGAACTTCCACTTTGTCTTTGCCTCTCGCTCTGTTTCCTTCTTCTGAACTAGTCAGGAGTCTTTCCTCCCAACAGTCACTGGATCACAGTTAAGACAAGGAACCAAAATTGACCCTAAACAAGACACCTTCTTGGCACCAACATGGCAGATCCTGAGGTAATGGCTGGTCATAGTCAGACCAGGATGATGTGGACTAATGGTATTATGAAAGTTCCTAGTGATTGCTTTTGTTCATCTTCCCTATTTGAAACTAGGACTGCTGTTAGCACTGTTTTCCACAGCAGGGTAATCAGCCTTCTCTGCTCTCATGACTGTTTGTCTCTCTGATTGGCTTCCTAGGACAAATGGCTGAGACTAGTTCTTTGGGATTCCACGTGTGTGGGGTTTTTGTTTGAACTCAGGCAACAACAACAACAACACCTAAAGAATAGAGAGGAGAAAAAGTGAAGAAAAATAGTCTCAGACAGCATTAAGTTACTCAACATAACATATAATGACAGAATAAGAAAAAGGAATAGGACAAAAAAGCTAAAAGCTTCCCAAGACTGATGAAAGCTTTAACTTACACAACTACCCCAAAGAGAAAAAACACAGACACCTAAAAAAGATGCAGCATAACTCAGGGCACCAAAAGCTCAAGATAAGAAAAGAGCTTGAAAGCAACAAGAGAAAAATAAATTCTCATTTATAAATTGATGTCTCATCAGACAGGTGAAGCTGGAAGACAGTAAGAACAAAACAATAGAAATGCTTTACGAAAATAATTGTCACCTTGGCTCTGGCTGGCCTTGAACTCACAGAGATCTACTGGCCTTCTGAGTACATGGATTAAGGGACTATGCTACCATACCAGGCACAAATCATACTTTGAAAAACACTGTTGAAAGAAAAGAAAGAGTAAAAAAAAACCAAAAAAACAAAACCCAAACCTCAAAATAACAGAAAAAGACTCAAAATCATCAATTAGAATTCAATACTACAAGACTAACACTCTGCCCACTACACCAAGAGGTAACAGAAATCATTTATTTTAAGATAATAGGACTCCCCAAGCTCATCTAAAAACTCAATATAATTCTATCAGAATACCAGTTGGTTTTTGAGAGAAAATGACAAGTTAATCCTAAACCCAAAGAAAATATAACAGAATCAGTCTTGAAAACAATGGTAGACATCATGCATTCTAAACTTAGACTAAGACAAAGATAGAACAAGTGTCTTTATAAAAGAAAATAGGAGAATCATAGAAAAGAAAGCAATCCTTCTGTCTCAGGCCCCCAAGTGCTGGGGTGTGAGCCACCATTATAGTCTGAACTTTCAAATACGTCATATTTAAACTTCATTAAAATTGCCTCATTTGCAATTTCATTAAAGGCAAAATCTCTATGCCTAAAATTCTGACTTTATTTTCTTAGCTACTGCTAATTTTTCCTACATTGTATTAATGTCATGTACTCTCCACCTTCCACAATCTTTTCTCCGTAACTGGACTTGGCCTGCTCAACAAGAAGGAAATCATGTCTGGTACTAGAAACCTAGCCAAATACTCAGGGTTAGTGAAGTCATGGATCTTGAAAGAGAACTTACAAACCACTTTTCTAAAACAGCATCATCTTGAGCTACATTCTTCTTTTTTAAATTTTATTTTATGCGCATTAGTGTGAAGGTGTCAGATCCTTTGGAATTGGAGCTACAGAGAGTTTCTAGCTGCCATCTGGGTGCTGGGAATAGAACCTGGGTCCTTTGGAAGAGCAGACAGTGCTCTTAACCTCTGAGCCATCTCTCCAGCCCCCTGAGCTACATTCTAAATATTTGTCCTTATCCCCACCAATAAGTGCAATCCTCATTCCTCATCAAGGAAACTTCTCTTTATAAAAGTCAGAGACCATTACAGAAAACCACAACCAATCAAAATGCTATTGTGGAACCCAGTTCCAACTGATATATACATACTGATACAACACAACTCTTGAATCTAAGGCTCAGGAATTACTGAGGAAGAAAAACTGAAAAGACTGTAAGAGCCAGAGGAACAGGAAGTTTGCTGTCAGATTGTATCTTATAGAAACATCAGATGCTATATCCATGAAGTCGCATAACACGGCTGCCTAAACATTACTTGAACAAGTACAGATGAAACCAATAGATATGCTAATATGAAAGAAGAAACTGGAGAGGCCTCATCCTACACAAAGAACTACCAAAGAATGCTGAGACTGGGAGAAACAGTCTTCCCCAGAGAAGAGTACAGCAATTGGTTGTCCAATTGTGGATCAGCCCTGAAAACATAAACATGAAGTAACATTACACAGACTGAGCAGGTTGTATTTATCTATTTAGGAACACGCAAACACACACATATATGTTCTCATATGTAACAACAAAGAAAAAGAGGTCATGAATTTGAAAAAGGGCAAGGAAGGGGAGGCACATGGAAGATTTGTAAGGAGAAAAGGAAAGGGGGAAATGATGTAATCATATAAGCTCAAAAAAATCCAAACAAACAAACAAAAGACCCAACACATACTTTGACCTCAGAAAGGCCTGGAAGACAAGGAACAGTGTACTAATTTTCTTACTAAATGTGCTTCTTTTCCTGCATCAAATATCATACACTCCACTTGTCTACAATCCTAACAGCACCACTGGCAGCTGGTTCCCAAGCCTTCTGGTTCCTCCCTCAGGCCAATGTCTGGTTCCTATATTTCACCAGCATTCCTCTTCTTCATTCCCAAGGTCATTCTGATCCACATGGCCTGAGAACAGCTTCCGGCATTCCTCATGGCAGATGTCTCTGGTTCATCATTAGCTCTAATACTTTTATCCAACTATTGAACATTGCCAGTGACAGAAGTAAGTCTCTGCAATCTAATTCCCTTCTCTCTTGCAGCCACACCAGTACTGTTTGTTGGCTTCTGACTTCTGAAACCAATTTAGCTGTTGATCCTTTTGCATATGAAGGTCCCATATTCCAAGATGCTCTTTAAAAGTCCAGCTCAATGTCACCTCTGTCACACAGTTTGCATGTATCTCTTTGGCCTTCCTTCTTGTCCCTACCTCACTCATAGGCAAGCAGAGGCTATAATGCCAGAAGAGGACACCTGGACCTCAACTCACCCTGCGGTTCCGGTTGTGATCCATAGTTTTGAGATGCTTTTGGATGATTCCAAACTGCATGGGGATGAAGAGGTCACAGGCTGCACAATGGGCTGCCTCCACCTTCTTCACAAAATGCTCCATAGCAATTTCTGTTGGGACAGAAGAAAAGAAGTCACTCCCTGGCCTTAGGTCCAAAGACAGCAGATGAACTTCTTAACCCTCCCTGCCCCTTGTACACGAGCCCAAGACTGGGTGAGCAGTGGGATGGTGTGCCACTGCACTGAGAAGTAGAGAAGGGCAGGCCGGGGCCTGCCTGATGGCAGCCATCCAAATGGGGTGGGCCTTCTCACCTTGGGTCAGATCTTGGTCTCTGTAGATTTGCTGGATCAGACCATCAAGGTCTTCCACAGTTTTTCGGAGCTCCTCTGTCTTCTTGGTCTTGTTGGTGACATATTCCTATCAGAGACACAAATGTGTCAGCTACTCCGTGGCCCCAGAGACTAGAGACATCAATAGCAGATGTGCTGCTCAGAAGCTTACCTGCAGAAAGTCAGCGGTCTGCTTGGGAAGCTTGGTGCCTACATATTTGAAGTGTTCCTTGTGGAACTTGCTGTCAAGGTGGCTAGCCATCTCATCCTCATAGAAAGTCCGGTATTTGCAGAGAGAACACACAAACTGGATCCTGCCACAGGAGGAAAACAAGAGGCTGAGGCTGCAAGGGTCCCAGGAAATGGCACTGCTGTTTCACCCAACCCAGGTGCAGGCCTTAAGACAGGCCTCACTCTCAAGTCCAGTCCCAGCAGAGGGGTAGGCTGGGACTGTTAGGGCCGGGAGCAGAAGGGGACAGTCTGTAGGCTGCAGTTACAGCAATGTAGGGGTTAGGGGAAGAACTCTTCCTTCCCACAGGCAGGAGGCTGAGACCCGAGGCAGCTGCTGCTGCAACAGGCAAAGAGTCGCTGGAAAGTTGTCGGACGGCCTCTCTACCAAGGCTGGGCAGGAGCTTGTGCATTTGGCCCAACTGGGGACCAGAAGGAAGGATGCCCTGGCGAGAGCCAGGAGGGCCTGAGGTGCAGAATGGAGTACGCAGTCCCGAGGCAGTGCCTGAAAAGGTGCTGCATCTTCCTTCTGGGATCTGCGGGACTCAAAGGCCCAGCCCATCCTCTGCTCAGAATGCCTGGGGGTGGTGCCAGGAGGGATGGGAGGCAGCAGGCCTGGGCACCTGCTGCCTCATCTTCCTCTTCCAAGAAGAGACCAGTCTGAGCTGGAAGGAGGGCGCCCGCCTGGCCTGCCAGAAGGCAGCCTGGAATCACTGGGCGAGGTGCTCTGTCTAGGCCTCGTGTCCACAGCAGAAGCCTGGGGTCTAGGGCCTGTGCTGGAACAGGCCACCGTGGCAAGGGGCGGAGGCCAGCCGCCACTGAGGCCTCAGGGCGGGTCCCTACCTCTGCCGGACGTCCTTATCTGGGCCACGGGGTCAGCTTTGTCTGAAGAGCCCAGGGGCCGGGCGCCGGCGAGGCTGAGTGGAAGGTCCAGCAAGAGCAAGAGTCTGAGGCGGAGGAGGCAAGCGCCAGTGCGGGAGCCCTGAGGGCAGACAGACCCGACCAAGGGGCGTGAAGGGCTCAGCCACAGACAGGCCCGGCCTGAGAGGGCCGGTGGGCAGGGCCAACAGCAGACCCAGAGGCTGCCATAGCCCACGGGTGCTGTCATCTCTCCTGGGCACCGCGATGGCCTCTTGGCAGCTAGCTGGGGCGGCACAGGCGCCTTGGACCTTGAGTCTCTGATGAGCTGGCCCCCTCCCTCAGGGGCATCAGGCCCCCTGTGCACCTCAGGGCTTGTGCGCTGAGTGACCTAGTGCTGGAACTTCTGGGCAATGGTGCTGAGCAGTGCCAGGTCTCAGGCCACAGATGGCAGCAGTCACCAGGTGGCCACAGAGGGGCAGGGGGACGAGTCAGGACTTGGGAGCTGGGCCTGGCGGGAAGCAGGGTCCATGCACAGCAGAGCAGGTGGTGGTTCCCAAGGAAGGTCAGAGGGCGGCGAGATGGCCCTGCTCTCCTGGTGGCAGCCCCAGAGCGAGGCAGAGGGATGGAGGGAAGACAGTTACCTTTCTACCATACGGTCTCGCTGCCGCTTTTTCTGCTTGTCTTGGCTCTTCTTGCTTGCCTGCAACTTGCGTTTGGCCTGGCTGTTCTCATCCTGGGTGGTTAAGGCCCCTGTGTTAACAGAAAGGCAGAGTTACGAGCAGGACTCTAAAAAAATAGACCCTGTGGCCTGTGGCTGAATCACCCGCTGTCCACTCCATAGGGTCCATCTGAGAGCAGCTGTATACATAAAGCCTCAGGCATGAGCAGGGCTGGGTGCCCTGGGCAGAGCAGGAAGTAGATTTGGCTTAGGCACCAGGAGAGGGGGGACACGTGCTGACCCCTCTACTTTCTGGAACACCCTCACTCTCTGCAGAGTGGGTGCAGAGAAGCTGGAAGGCAAAGACAGGCTGTCTTGGTGGGAACACAATTGTGTTCAGAGGGACTGGGTGGCGGGATGCAGGGAGGCCGTTCACATGGCCCTGCCCACCCCCCACCGGGCACCGCGGCAACAGTGGGCTGAGGCTGGTTGTACTGTTAGGTACCTGCTGGCGCTCATCACTCAGGTGGGGGGACACGGACTCCCAACAAGGGCTGGAGAGGCGCTAAGGGAGAGGACACGCAAACCAGAGCCGTAAAAACTGCACCAAGGGTCCCAGCTCGGACACCAGCCACTGAGGACTTGGAACTATGTGTTACTGAGGGACCAGGGGTGGGGGGTGTGTGCCAGGGGCTCCCCACACTTTTGCTTGCTGCCCCCACCTGAAGGCGAAACCAAAGTGCTAGACTGGAGGCCACACCATCCACAACCTCTGCCTAGTAAAAGCAGAGGCAGGCTGGGAGGGCTCAGGAAGAGCTGACATGTACCCAGTCCCACAAGAAGGTCCCCAGCCGGCCACATTTCTGCTACAACCCTGCCCTCAGGTGGAGCCCTCCCACTACAGGCACCTGAAAGAGCCATCCCAATACATAGGCACCCATGGAAGACTCACCTTTCTCTGAATCGTCTTTGCCTTCTTCTCTCCCTTCCTCTTTTCCCTCCTCTTCCTCTCCTTCCTAACATACAATTTTAAAACTCAACTTTAAAAACAGCACGGTTACTTATACTGGCTCTAAAGGACTAAGGGCCAGGAGTGGGAGCATCAGACTTTCCCACAACCTGGCGCACAGATGCCTGCATGCCCCCATTTCTCAAAAGGAAACACTGCTTGTGAAGTGATCTCTACTTTTCCCCAGATACACAGCCTCTTTGTGCTGGCCACTCACCACCCACACATACAGATGACACGACATTGCCTGTGACCCCTATAGCAAGGGCCTATGCGTCTTTAAGCCAGCTCTGTCTTCCTAGGCCCCACCTGCAGAGAGCAAGAGCCTGGGGTCTAGGGTTACTTACTGCTCGGGAGCCTTTCTCCAAAGTCTCAGCACTTTCAGTACCCTCTGCAGCTTCCCCCTCAGTGCCTTCATCTGCAAGGGGAGAACAGTCACGCTCAGTCTTGGAGCCTCATGGTGGCAGGGAGCAGGGGGCAGGAAGCAGGACCCCCACATTGCCCAATTTACCATTGTCTGAGTCACTGTTGTCTGAGCAGTCTGTTCTGGTAGCTTTGCTGTCTGGCTCATCAGGACTGCCACCCTGCTTTCTCTTCTTCTTTTTCGTCTGGGCCAGAAAGAAGGAGTTAAGTTAGAGATGGTAGCTATAGCCTCGCAAGGGTTAGGAGGGGGTAGGCCAGCTTACCCGGAAGTCAGCTGTGGTCCAGGTCTTCCAGGTCCGCCTCATCTGCTTCATGCCATTGCCAAATCCGAAGCCAAAGCGGGAGCCACCAGAGAAGGCACCCCCACCACGCATGCCCTGGAACATGCCATACTCGGGGATGATGTTCTGGGAGAAGAGGGAGGGCAGCCGGGAGGCACCAGGCATGCACTGGCCCCGGGCCCCCATGGGGTCTTCCCACATGCGCCCATAGCCCGAGGCCATTGGCCGTCCACTCCGGGCATCCCGGGCCCAGCCCTGAGCCCTTGGACCATATGTATCTCCTCCACGCATTCGAAACTGGTCACGGTAGGCATCATATTGGCCCTCATAGGCCATTTCCATCTCGGGGTCAAGCTCGCCATAGTCATAGCTCGACCGGTAGAGGTCACGTTCATTCAGGATGGCCCTTGAGTCACAGGCCTCATAGGAGTCATATCTGTGGAGACACATGGCAAACATCAGGCAGAGCCCCATAGAGTCTCGACTCCTGATGGTCTAGCCTACTGCTCTTGACCTGCTCTGCTGCCACTCCCAGTCTTACGAAAACTCAACAGAGCACTTAGGAAGGAGGTCGGATCACCTGTCTAAAACAGAGATGGTTGCCCTCAGCTATAGCTCCTATGTGGCTTACCTTCCACGTACCTCACAGGTATAAAGCCCTCTTTGTACTCCCTTCTCTATGCCTCACCAGGAAACATCAACAGATGCAAAACAAATGGCGCCTGCCTTTCATCCCAGGCACTGCTTCCAAGGCTCCATGCTATACAGCAAGCGGCCCTGCAGCAGTTTGAGCCAGGGAAGCCCAGTTTCTTGCTCTTCTCCAGGAGCCCTGGGGTTTTTCTTGGTCCTCTCGGTGACCAGCCCCTCCCCCTTCACTGTCTCCCCCATCTATCAGTTGACACTGTCCAGCTCCCCTTTGTCCTTTGTGGAAATACATGTGCCCTTCTTTCTATGGTGCAAGAATGCCTGAATCATAACAAAACCAGCTCAGCCAATGACAACACATATGGGGGATCCTCTGTAGTAGGACAGATCTAAGATTGAGGCTCAGTCCTACCAAACTTCCATTCAGGCAAAGGATGTGGCCTGCTTGTAGCCTACCTACAAAACCAGGACAGAAGTTTCCCACAGGGAGGCTGCAACAAGTACACATATGTAAGGCGTGAGGACGTGGCTGTACGCACTCCTGTGCTGTGTGCATGTGTATTTAGGTGCATTGCTGCTTTGCCTGATGTATGTCTGGGTGAAGGTGCCAGCTCTTGCAGTTACAGTTGTGAACCACCATGTAGGTGCTGGGATTTGAACCTGGGTCTTCTGGAAGAGCAGTCTCTCCAGTCTCTGCTGAGCCATCTCTCCAAGCACTCTTGTCTGCCTAACCTCTTAGGTAAGATGACCTGAGTCCCAGTGGTTAGTTCCTAAGGATTATCCTACTCTTCTCAAACCCATTTTGCCCTGCCCTGGCACTATAGCAGAATGTAAAATCTGGACTGAATACCTAGCTGTCATGAAGGGAAGAGACATTAGACACTCCTGAGGAGCCATTCTGCGGGTACAGTCAAGATAGCACAGCTGGCCCTGCTCTTCCCCTTGCTCAGAGGGGAGCTGGCCATTGGGGATAGGGGGGTTAGCAGGGAGGATGACAGGTCAGAAAAGGGAAGCTTAGTGACTTCATTAGGAACACTGCATCTGGGAAGCACAGAGCAAGGGGAAGGAAGCAGACACCGTAGAGCATTCAGGAAGGGTTCCAGCAGACAGGAGTGCCAACCCTGAAGAGCCTTAGCTCCTAGGTAGTACCCCAACTCACCTTTCTCCACCACCTGAGCCGTACACACCTCCTTGTATCATGTCTGTCTCCAAGTGTGGCATCATATCTAAGCGCTGGTTAATTCTGGATAAAACGGAATCGGCACTGGTGCTACCCGAGGCACTAGGATTTGCATTTGTGTCAGAGCTAGCCATTTCCCAAGAGTGTGAAGTGGCCATACCATACCCATAGTTGGTGGTGTTATCCTGGCCATAGCCATAGCCATAACCATAGTTCTCGTAGCCTGCAGTTAAGGAGACAGAGGGACAGAAATGGAATGGGTAGAGAGAAGGAAGGAGGCAGCAGGGATAAACAGAAAAAGTGTTTTGGTCAAAAACAAGCTTAGGTAACTTAGCCACTTGAGGCTGGGTAGGCCCTTCTCATTCTAAGGAGGACTTCCTGTGCCAGCCCCAGAGACACCCACTTAAACCCTACTTGGCCACAAGGGCAGTTTAGAGAAACACAACTGGTAAGTCCTAAGGAGATGAGCACGGCCAGATACTTGCCTCTATTTGTTCCTGAGTTCCAAGTTCCATATCCTACAGAAAGAAAAAAGAACAATTACTTCTACAGTAGCTTCTATACACAACATGAACTTAAGTTCACTGCAGTTTAATTCAAAAATACAGTTTCTTTCAGTACCCGGCTCAACTTTTCAAGCTACACACTGAACACCACCACATAAACATACCTGCTCACTCCCTGCCTTGGTACTCAGCTGAGGCTCCGGGCATATGGTAGTAAAGGAACGTCCTGTTTCTAACACTCCCAGCTAATAACGTGGCTCTTACATTCCATCACTATAGAAAGTAGACTTAGAAGACGACTTTCTCATTCCTAGCTAGCACTAAAAATTAGAGGAAGAAAATAGTTCACAATGCTTCAGAGAATGTAAGCTACATGTCTGCCTAGCATGTGCAAGGCCCCGAGAAGCCTTACATATAAACATACCAAACATAGCTAATTATGTTTAGCAATGAGGTCTAGGGATAAAACTCAGAGATAGAATTTTATCCTGTACTACAAAATAACAAACATCTGAATGACTCATCAATATTGCTATACAAAAAGTACATATTCACACTGAAATCATCCCTCTGCTATGGAACTCTGTCCTCTGCATGGCCACTGCTGTCTTAAAATCAGACCAGGTGTCACTACCGTCATGAAACCCTGACAAGACCGAGTCTACCTGAATGCCGTTAGGAAAGGGGTAAATGGCACACAAGATCCCTTCCCTACCCAAAGACATATCAACAGTTAATAGTTTAAGGAATTATTTGAGGAAGATTCTTTTTTTGTGATACAGATGCCTGTAAGTTGTATGTGTTCCTAAAAATAACTGTTCAGCAATGCTCCTGTAAGTAACTCAATTAAACCAGGTTCACCAAACTACACAGGAGTGGATTTTTTCCTTTGGTCAGCTATTGGTGCCATACCTGGGTACAGACATTTGTTCCTACTGCCCCAGGAAAAGCCATGCAACACAGCCTATCACTCAACTGGGGTAGGGAAACAGATGGTCTGGAACCCTGCCTTAAAAGGGAGAGCCAAGAAGTCCTTGAATGACACATCTAAAAGCATGATGCACCAGGGAAGACAATAAGCAGCTCTGAGAACCAGGCATCGTGATGTATATCTGTAATTCTGGGACTTCAGAGGTAGAGACTGAAGGTTCTGTGCAAGTCTGAGCCAAGTTTAGGCTACAGAGTAAATCCCAGGCCCTCCTGGGATACAGAATGAGACCAAAAAGCCCAGGGGGCAAAGGCAGGCAGAACTCCGTAAGTTCAAGGCAACCGTGGTTTACACAGGAAATTCCAAGCTGTGAGACTGTTTCAGATTTTTCAGACTGTCTCAAAAACAAAACAAACAATAACAAAACACTTGGGTAAGGTGGTAAGCATAACTCTTAACCTGAAAAAAAAAAAAAAAGTCTTTGAAAGAACAATCTGGATCATAAATTAAATGTACTCTAGACTTTATCACACGTAGTAAAAGTTCATTCCTTTAGTCTCCTAAAGTCCAAAGGTGCAAAAACCACATGAGAATTGCCAATCGGATTCCCCAGAGGGAAAACATAGAGCAGATGCCCACTTTGCCTCCTAGTGCATGCCATCTACCCCACTGACAGACAAACCATACTTATCCCTGGGCAGGAAACCAAACCACAGTGAGAAGACAGCATAGTGAATGACAGAAAAATAGGGAAACTAAACAAACTAAATGGACATCTGCATTTGGGCTGTGCACAACAAAATGGGAAGATGATGGAAACCAGCTAAGAAATTGTAGATGATTGCTGCATTTAACACACTATGCCAAGAAGAACTCACAAAGCAAACATCCTCTCAGGGTGGAGAAGCCTAAACCAAACCATGTGTCTACGTAACAAGTATCTCACATAAAATGGACCCCTAGATGCTGTTCACGATAGAATGCTGCTTGCTGTTTAAAGAAGATATGAAAGAGAAAGACCTTATATGGGAAGAGTGATATAGGAGCCATTTCCACAGGCAAGAAAGGGCAGCAGAGTCACAAGGATAATCAAGAGCTTGTGCACAAGGTTGGCTGCCAGCCTCAGAAACAGTGGACACCAGCTTTCATGAAGACAGGACTGGGAAGCAAGAACAAACACACTATGACTGCTTGTGGGACAGGCTTTGAACATACTCCAGGTTTAGGTACCAAGGAGCTACCACAGTCAAGTAAGGAGAAACAAGGGAAGAGAGAGGGAGGGAGCCAGTGGACAACCCTGTATTTGAAGCTAGGCAAATGGCCTCCTGTGACAGGACTGTCACCAGCTATCAAGCACAGGCCTGGAATCCCATTTACTTGGAAGGATCATAAAGGCCTTCCTGAGCTACAGGAGTCCCTTTAGGCAAGCCTTCACTATATGCTATTTGCTACACCTGGAATGACTGGGACTCTGATGAAAAGGTGGGGGTTGAGAGTTGTCCCTTCAGAACGAAGTTACACTTGTGTTCAGGAGAACTGCTTCTTCAGAAAAGGCATTTCTATTGACTGTCCACAAAGGAAATGAGTTCATAGTTGACAAAGAAAATTATATTTTATTTTGAGACAAGGTGTCACTATGTGGCTCTGGCTGCCCTGCTACATAGACCAGGGTGACCTCAAACCTCACAGAGATCCGCCTGCCTCTGCTTCCCATATTACAGGCTGTGCCACTATACCTGGCTAACAGAGGAAATTTTAAAAGAAAGAAAAGTTGAGTATGGGCCTCTACACCTATAATCTCAGCACTGAGGAAGGAAAATCAAGAGGCCTGGCAAAAGTTCAAGGCCATCCAGAGACACTTTGCAAGATCCAGTCTCAAAAAGAGACAACCGGGGCTGGAGAGATGGCTCAGAGCACTGGTTGCTCTTCCAGAGGTCCTGAGTTCATTTCCCAGCAACCACATGGTGGCTCACAACCACCTAGAGATCTGATGCCCTCTTCTGGTGTGCAGGTGTACATGCAGATAGAGCACTCATACATAAAACAAAAAAATTTTAAAAAACAAAAAGATAACCACAGCAAGTGATCATGCTCTAATGGTTCAATATTAACAATTACAATCTATGTGCTCAGTGAGATGCCAGGTTGTGACAGTTAATGTCATCTGGACTTGACATCTGGAAATAACTAAAACCCAAGCATCTGGGCCGCCTGTAAGGGATTTCCTTGACTGGATCATTTGAGGTCAGAACACACCCTAAACCTGGGCCACACCTTGTGATGGCAGTCCACATAAAAGACCAACAAAGAAGGAAGCTTTTGCTTTTTGCCTGCTTGCCCTCACTCTTGCTGGCAAGTTCATCTATCTTGCTGCCAAGGCACCCCTTCGATGGTATGAGAACCTTCCTCTTCAGGACTCCAGTGCAGACTGAAGACAGACTGAAGCAGTTCTCTAGGAATCCTCCAGGATGCCTGCACCAGATTAGGACTGCCCAGACATCCAGTTTAGTGGACAGATTCTTGCCTTTTTGTCAGGAGATAGCCACTGGACTACCTAGACCACAACCTAAAAGCACCTCTAATTAACCCACTTTTATCATGTACACACACACACACACACACACACACACACACACACACACACACACAGAGTCAGTCCTGCTCCTTTAGAGAACACCCGACTAATACACAAGTAGATATCAACATAGAAATTATGATATAACTGCAGTACCAGGCCCCCTCCTGGCCTCTGAGGGTACCAGGCACATACACAATGCACGATGCACAGACATACGTGTAGGGAAAACATTCATAAAAACAAAAATTTTTAAATGAAAAAAAATTAAAAAGTTAATGTATGGCTAGATAAGGCGGCACAAAGTACCTTTAGGCTTATTAGGCAGAAGCAGGCAAATCTGTGAGTTTAAGACCAACTTGGTCTACATAGTAAGTTCTAAGCCAGACAGAGTCACCATAGTAAGACCTTGTCTCAAAACAAACAAAATCTCTTCAGGATCTATTTTGATAAAAAAATGACGCAGATGGGCAGTCATTTAATCCTAGCACTCACGGAGGCAGAGGCTGGTGGATCACTGTGAGTTCAAAAGTCAGCCTGGTCTACAAAGTGAGTACAGGACAACCAAGGCTACATAGAGAAACACTGTCTTAAAAAAAAAAAAGAAGAAAAGAAAAGAAAAAGAAAAAAAGAAATGCAGTTATGTGCAAAAGCAAGAAAAATTTTTTTGTTTTGTTTTGATTTTTAAGACAGAGTTTCTTTGTGTAGCCTTGGCTGTCCTGGAACTCACTGTATAGACCAAGCTGGCCTCAAACTCACAGAGATCCACCTGCCTGTCTGTGCCTCCTGAGTGCTGGAATTAAGGGCGGTGTAACACCACCACCCAGCTGCACGACAAGTTTTAAACAAGAGTTTAAAAAAGCCAGGTATGGTGGTGCACATCTTTAATTCTAGCACTTGGGAGGCAAAGGCAGGTGGATCTCTATGAGTTAGTTAGTTCCACGACAGCTAAGGCTACATGGTGAGACACCCCCAACCCTGCCTAAATAAATAAATAAATAAATAAATAAATAAATAAATAAATAAATAAATGAAGGGGAGAGAGAGAGAGACTAAATTCAGGGGCTGAAGTGACAGCTCAGCAGCTGAGAGCACTTGCTGCTCTTGTACGTGACCCTCTCAGCAACCACATGACAACTAATAACCATCTTTCCATTTCTACAGGATCCGATTGATGCCTTCCTTCCATGGGCATTGAACACATCCAGTACACAGACATTCAAGGAAGCAAAACATGCATACTCATAAAATGAACACAAAGAAATCTAAAAAAGGAAACTGGCTCGAGGCCTGGTGGCCCTGTAATCCCAGCACTCGGGGAGGCAGAGGCAGGCAGAGCTCTCTGAGTTCGAGGTCAGTGTAGTCTACAAAGCAAGTCCAGGACAGGCAAGAAACCCTGTCTTGAAAACCAAAAGAGAAAATAAAAATAATAATAATAATAATAAAGAAAGAAGAAAGAAAGAAAAGAAAGAAAAAGAAAGAAAGAAAGAAAGAAAGAAAGAAAGAAAGAAAGAAAGAAAAAAGAAAACTGGCAAAAAGTTAAAATAAGTGGGATGATGGTAGCTTCGGCACACGCCTTTAATCTTATCACTTGGCAGGCAGATCTCTGTGAGTTTGAAACCAGCCTGGTTTACACAGGGAGTTCCAGATAGCTCTGAATATACTCAACACAAAACCCATACATTTTCATAAAACACTATTAATTTTTTTCAAATTTTATTTTGTAACTCAATTCTACTGCTTTTTAGAGAAAACTTTCAAATGGGCCACAGTACCATTCATCAGTCTGAGTTTAATTAAGGAAAACAGGGTGACATTAAAGTTAAAAGCAACCAATTAGAAAGCAGAACACTGGTTCCCACTAGGGGCCACACTTACCATAATCACAGGTGGGCTGGGCACTAGTGTCAGAGTATGTGGACTGCAAAGTGGTTTCGGATCCTTGGACAAAACCTAAACATATGCACAAGATGGTTATTTCCCCAACACAGCCACAGGAAAGTGACTAACAGCATTTCAATACAGATTAGTAGAAGGCTCCCTTCAGCAGAGAAACCTCTACAACCTGTAGATTTCATACTTTAGTTAGACCGCTGAATACATTAACCATGGAAAGACAGGTCATGTTTAACTTGTTATAAGGACTACATAAAAATGTGTAAACATTTACACTACTAGCCATTTTGGTGAATGAATACCCAAATTATCAGCTACATAAGGAAAACACTGTAAGTGTTACAGTGGAAATCACTGTAAGAAAAGCTACTCTGGCCAGGCAGTGGTGGTGTACCTTGGGAGGCAGAGGCAGAGGCAGAGGCAGAGGCAGAGGCAGAGGCAGAGGCAGAGGCAGAGGCAGAGGCAGAGGCAGAGGCAGAGGCAGAGGCAGAGGCAGAGGCAGAGGCAGATAGATTTCTGTGAATTCCAGGCCAGCCTGGTCTATAAAGGAAGTTCTAGGGCAGCGAGAAGAAGAAAGAAGAAAGAAGAAGAAGGAAGAAGGAAGAAAAGAAGGAGGAGGAGGAGGAAGAAGAAGAAAGGGAAGAAGGAAGGAAGGAAGGAAGGAAGGAAGGAAGAGGAGGAGGAGGAGAAGAAGGAGAAGGAGGGAAGGAAGGAAGGAAGGAAGAGGAGGAGAAGGAGAAGGAGAAGGAGAAGGAAAAGAAGGGCTACTTCCATTTTAAAAAAAGGTGGAGTTGGTTTTGAAGTCATGTGAATGCCAATACTCCCGAATCCTTGCCTGGCTGTTTTTTGAAAAAGGGTCTCACTTTGTGCCCAGACTGGTCTCAAATTCACAAATTGCTCCTGTTTCAGTCTCGCAGGTGTTAGGTATTATGAGCATAAGTTGTAAGTTTGTGGATTGCATGGCAATGTGGCATACATCTGTTATGCTAGCACTTAAGAGGGTTGAGCTTCAATCATCAGGAGTTCAAGACTAGGGCCGGCTACATGAGATCTTGCCTTAAAAAAGTCGGGGGGGGGGGGGGGGGGCGGGAGGGATGGCTCAGGAGGCTAAGAGCACTGGTCTTCCAGAGGTCCCGAGTTCAATCCCTAGCAACCACATGGTGGCTCACAACCATCAATAATGAGATCTGGTGCCCTCTTCTGGCGTGCAGGTGTACATGCAGACAGAACATTGTATCATAATAAATCTTAAAAAACAAAAAACAAAACAAAACAAAACAAAACAACAACAACAACAAAACTAAAAAAACCCCAAACAAACAAAGTGTATCAGCTTGGGGTTAAAGATGAAACCCAGGCCATCAATCACGCTGGGCAAGCATTGTATCTCCAAATGCTATCCTAGACCTCACTGCTAAAATGGGATCACCTATGTTTGCCATGTTTAAATGGACATAAGTGTACCATACATACAGTGAGCCTCTCTAACCTAAAATCTGGGGTTTAGTTTTTGTTATGTTTTTTTTTTTTTTTTTTTTCCTTTTTTCATGACAGTATTGCTCTTGTGTAGCCTTGGCTGTCCTGGAACTTTTCATTGTCACCTGAGTGCTTATATTAAAGGCATGTACCATCAGACCTGGCTCTAACCTAATATTTTTTGTTGTTTTTCAAGACAGGGTTTCTCTGTGTAGCCCTGGTTGTCCTGGAACTTGCTATGTAGAGCAAACTGGCCTTCAACTCAGAGATCATATCCACATGACTCTGCTTTCTGAGTGATGGGTTTAAAGGCATGTGCCATGATCCCAGCATTCAGAGAGGCAAAGGCAAGCAGAACAGCTGTGAGTTCGAGGCCAGCCTGGTCTACAAAGCAAGTCCAGGACAGCCAAGGCTACACAGAGAATCCTGTCTCAAAAAACCAAAAATAGACAAAAAACAAAAACAACAACAACAAAGGATATGTGCCACATCTGGCTCTAACTTACACTCTTTTCTTTTTCTTTCATTTTCCCAGTACTGGGTTTCTATGTGCAGCCTTGCTTGTCCTGAAACTCACTCTACTGGCCATTCAGAGATCTGTCTACCTCTGTCTCCCCGAGTGCTGGGATTAAAGGCTTGCACCATCACCGCCCAGCCTAACCTAAATTCTTAAAAAGCCTTAAAAAACACAACTTTTAGAAAATAATTTATTTTAAATTTTTATGTGCATTAGTGTGAAGGTGTCAGATCCCTTGGAACTGGCATTACAGACAGTTGTGAGCTGCCATGTGGGTGCTAGGAATTGAACACCAGGTCCTTTGGAAGAGCAGGCAGTGCTCTTAACCACTGAACCATCTCTCCAGCCCCAACTTTTTGTTTTTTAAAGCTCTTTATTTATTGTATGTATGGGTGTTTGGCCTGCACACCGCAAGCACAATGGTACCTGTGGAGGCGAAAGGCACTGGATCCCTCGGGACCAGAGCTACAAAGGGTTGTGAACTGCCATACAGGTGCTAGGAATTAAACCCAGGTCCAGAGGACTTAACCACTGAGCCATTGCAGCCTCCTAGTTTTTGTGTTTGTTTGTTTGTTGTTGTTTGTTTTCACCTTTTTAAAGACAAGATCTTTGTTTGTACTCTAAGTTGATCTTGAACTCATCACTTTATCCTTAGTGATGGAATTACAGGAGTATAAACATGCATCAAAATCTATAAACCTTTTTAACTGCCAACTTGAGGCTACAAGAGTAAAGTTCCACACCAGACCAGACCTTATGTTGTAATCCAAATGCAAGTAAATGAAAATTATTTTATATAAATTACCTTCAGGCAACTGGACGTGGTGATACACACATGTAATCCCAGCACGCAGAAGGCAGAGGTAAAGGATCTCTGAATTCAAGGCTAGTTTGGTTTACACAGGGTTACATAGTAAGATCTTGTTTCAAAACAAAACTAACCAAAACAAAAAGCTTCAGGTTCACATAACAGGGTGCCTGTGAAACCTAAATATTTACTTCTTTGACTTGGGTCCAACCCAAGACATCACTAGGGATATTCCAAAATTCAAAAATATCTCCAAAGCACTTTTGGTCACAAGCATTTAGATAAGGGGCAGTCACCCACTCTGCAGAAGTCACTATGACATCAAGCATAGCACACCTGCAATCCTGTACTTCGAGAAAGCAAAAGCAGGATTGTGAGTTGTAGGCATGATCATTTAAATAGGGAGGCCCTGTCTAATATATGTATCACATACACCTTTCCATACTTAGTGCTGAAATAAAATGATTAAGTACTAGGGCCATGGCTCAAAAACTAAAAACATTTCCAACAAAAACATATAATAAATACCATCTATGTGGGTACAAATTCCCATACAGCTGTTCAGTGGAAGGCTTACAGCCTAAATACCAGCATCCATGAGGCTGAGGCAGAAGAACTGCCATGGGTTCAAGGTACTGAAACAGAGCGAGATAACCCCAGCCTTCCACAAACTCACAGCAACAATAGTCAGCAGTGAACACTGGATAAGTGCTTCCCTACTGGATGCTTTAGCTATATTTCTCATTTCATGCCCATCAAGGTCAGTATGGCAAGATCCTGCTCCCTGTCCAAAATTAAAAAGTAAGTACTTTTTTTTTTCTTTTTCCTGAGACAGGGTTTCTCAGTGTAGCCTTGGATGTCCTAGAACTCATTCTGTAGACCAGGCTGGCCTAGAATTCAGAGATCCTGCCTGCCTCTGCCTTCTGAGTGCTGGGATTAAAGGCATGCACTACCACTGCCTGGCAAAAGTACTTTTTTAAGTCCAAAATGTTCTGCAAATCAAGGGCTCTCAGAACTGGGGATGAGGTTGGAAAAGTCAAGGCTTCCATGTTAACAGAGCTTAGTGTAACTGGGAAGTTCGAAACTAATGGCACCCTGCTTAAAGAGAAAACAAGATAGATGGCACTAGAAAAATGACAATGAAGTTGACCTCTGGTTTGCAAACACAGCTGTTCATTTATGTGTGCACACATACTAAAAAAGGAAAATATTCACTTGGGAGTCTCCTATAGAGAATAATCAGAATGAGGTATCCGATACCAACTCCTCCACTGATTCTTTTGGAAACTTGTCTGCAACAGCACTGCCACCAGAATGCTCCCAGGTTTTATGTAATATGATAATTTTGAGGTCTTACTGCATTGCTCAAGCTGCAATAGCTTGAACTACAGGTGTGCACTACTTTGGCCAGTTTGTAATGTGGTTTCTTTTCAGTTTTTCTGTTTTGCAGTGGTGAAGACCTAACTGAGGGCCCCACAGAGCCATCTCTCTCTAACACCGATTTGGTTTGTTCAGTAGGGTCTAGTTATATAACTCAAACTCTTACTCCTCCTGCCTCTATCTGCCCAATGCTAGGATTATGCGAATGCATGGCATGGTGGGTAGTTTGCCTGTATGTTCCGGGAACTGAATCCAGCGCATCTTAGACAAGCATTCCACCATTGTGCTGTATCTTTTTATTTGTTTTGCATTTTGAGATACATTCACTTAACTGCCCGGACAGGCCTCAAATTTACTCCATAACCCTGACAGGTTTGTGAGCTTGTGACTATTCTATCTAGGCCTCCTGGATATTGGAATTACAATCTTGTGCTACCTGGCCTGGCACATACTGTGCAATTTAAATATAGTTGTCACTTAGTTTCTGCTGGGGACTTATTCCAGAACAGGCTACTCAAACATAAGAAAATTCACAGACGTTGAACTACCTTTTATAAAATGCCCTGTATTTGCATATGCAAATTCCACTGTCTATTTTAGTTACTTATAAGACAGCATCAGACAGGCGCAGTGGCACATGCCTGTAATCCTAGCACTTTGGAAGTTGAGGCAAGTGAACAGCTGTGAATTCAAGGCCAGCCTGGTCTACAGAGCAAGTCCAGGGCAGCCAGAGATACATAGAGAAACCCTGTCTCAAAAACAACAAGACTTAACATGATGTAAATTATATAAAAATAACCATACTGTTTTATTAGAGCATACTAGCAAAAAGTTTGTACGTGGTTAGTAGAGATACACCTTTCCTCTCAAATATTT